TAAATAAATAAATAAATAAATAAATAAAAAGGATGTCCTAATGCCACTGTACAGGACTTTAGTCAGACTCCATTTGGAATACTGTGTCCAGTTCTGGAGACCTCACTTTAAAAAGATATCAATAAGATTGAATGAGTTCAGAGATGGCCAAAATGGTGCAAGGTCTGAGGAACAAAACATATCAGGAGAGACTGGAGGAACTGAAGATGTACAGCCTGGAGGGCAGAAGAGAAAGGAGGAACATGATTGAAACCTTTAAATATATTAAGGGTGTAGAATAAGGTTCTAGAAGGCAGTATTTTCAATATGAAGCAGAAATCAAGAACACGGAGGCATAACCTGAGACTGACAAGAGGGCAATTCAAAAGTAATGTTAGAAAGTATTACTTCACAAAAAGAGTAGTGGAAGTTTGGAATCAACTTTCAGGGGAAGGTAGCTGGTCATTCATCAGTAAACATGCATGGGATAATCACATGTCCACCATTCAACAAAAATTAAAAGATAAAAAAACCAAAACAAAATAAAAAATAAAGATAATTAAAAAAAATAAATTTAAAAGAAAGCAAAAAAGAAAAGAAAACCCCCTCAAATGCAGACTCAATGGACCACTGTCCTTTTCTGCTGACAGTTTTCTCTGTTTTTTCTACGCATCCAACTCTTTCCTTTTGATTTATGAAAACAGTCTGTTCAAGCTCAATATGCATTACATTAAAAAAAAAAACATATCACCCAAAAGGGCCTTTTAAACCATCAAAGGATATAAAAAAAGAGCCACCACAGGGCAATCTGAAGATTTGTCTAATTGATTTTTAAACCTTGGATGTTTTCTGATGGATTAACAAAACCCAGAGTGATCCTCCTTAGCAAGGCTCCATTATCAATGCGCCATTCCAAACATGGCCAGCAATGGATAGGAAAAAGAAAAGGCACTGCAATAAACAATCCTTGTGCCATTTTTTTTAGAGAGACAGAAAGAAAAATAACACAGCCTTCATTCTCTTTCCCCACCCCTTTTGGAAAGCTCATCAAAGTTTACCACCCTGAAAATAGCAGTATTTCCATATCAGTTTTAGCATAGAAGAGCTCAAGGTCTGGTCAATTATTAACAGGTACTAAAAATAATAAACTGCAGCTGGCTTTTTACTAATTTCCCTTAATGATTTCCACTGTACAACTCTTTATGCACTTATCAAGTCAGCCAGAAAAGAAATTCACAGCAGGTGTCAAGTAGGACTGGAGAAAAGACCATGTTTTTGATGTTTTGATGTTTCAAGTTTTTTTTTTTATTTGCTTTGGAGTCTTGGAGAATGAATGAGGAGGGAGCAAGATACAAACATTAATCCTGTCTATTATCTATTCATTAAAAATCCATTTTTAACACTTTCTCAATTTTTTCTTCACCTCCAGCTAAAAAGCTAGCAGGATACAATGACATCAAGAAAGAAAAATTGTCTTTTTTTTTTTTTTAATCTTTGCTTACCATATCTACAATGTCAGCCATGGTTAGGATGAAAATGGCAGACATAGCCCAGGTGTTCCTGGCCCAACGAGTTCTGTCAATCCATGTGGAAAAAGACACGAGCTTTTTAGGGAAAACCTGTAATAATAAAAATGCACTATTTCTTTATTTAAATTTATTATAGCACTGATATAGCACCCAGCACTGATAGACTAGGAAAATAAGGATCATGTTAATTTCTTATAGGGAATAGGGATGGAAGAGAGACAGTAGCTAAGTAACATTACTATTTTTTGCATGCAAACAATTTGGCCTGTCCATAGTATCTTTAGCCATCTCCCTATTAGCAATTAATTGCATTTTCTAGAGTCATTCATTCATTGTTGTCCCAAATTCTGCCCAAAATAGCCACAATGAAAGACTTCATAGTACTTCAGTGATGGCTGGGTGATGCTATGAAGACACTATATATTATTAGCAGAAAAAATGCCTCAGTGCCTTTTTATCACCCCAGAGCTCCTGCCACTTATAACAATTGATGATGTTTTCCAGATTTTTGGAAGAGAAACCTGAAAAAAGGAAAACTGCAATCCTCCCAAATTAAAACATACTGATCCTACCCATATGAAAACAATGGCATCATCCACACTCAAGATGGAAAGTCATAGAACTGAAAATCCACATAAATGCATATGCACAGCCATACGCACAAGAAGCAAATATAGGAGTCCTACTATTATAGCTCAGGTAGAACTTCAAATAAGAAACACAAATATTTCTGGGAGCATGGTGGAAAAACTTTGTATTGGCATTGAAGAACGGCAAAGGGTGAGATTCTTACAATAGTTAACAATTGTGTGTTTTGGAGGAGACCTTACCCTGGGAAAGATGGCAGCAAGTGAACAGAGAGTCAAGATGAGTAGAAGGATTTCGCCAACAACAAATGTCACATAATTTGCTAGCAGCCTGCAGCAGAGTAGGAAATAAAAAAGAAACCACTGGATATAAAGAGGAAGATCAAAGATCAATATTTTATTCTGATTGCAGAGGTAGTCAAATTCCCCGTTATGAAAAAATATTTTTGCACATAATTTTTGGCATTATTTTATAAAATTGCTTCACTCTTGTTGCTTGCCACCTATTCCTGAAGGTCCTGGGCAGATAAGACTGACATAAAAAAAATACTGACACACACACACACACACACACTGAGCCCAAATATATATAAAAAACATCAAAAATATAAAAATGAAAAAAATGCATGTAAATGCTATATTTCTGCAGTCACCACCTTCATGTGCCCACATACCCTCTTTCTGGGCACAACTAAACACGTGGGTCTTCACAATTGTCCTAAAGCCCAAGAGGCATGAAGCTGACCAAATTTTTGCCAGAAGGAGTTCAAAAGAATAGGGACAGGTACTAAAAATGTCAATTTCCAAGTAACAGTCCCATAGGATTTGGAGGAAGTTGGTCCTATTTCATCTAGTTTAATGGGCAGATACAAGAAAAGGGGGTTCATCAATTAACCAGGTCTGGAACCACATGGAACCACATATATAATTATAGGGGGTTCTTCAATTAAACAGGTATGGAACTATAACTCTAAAGGTAACTACAAACATCTTGATTTGCACCTGGAAGCTATTTAGCTCCCAAAGCAGAGAGATCATTGCTTTGGGTGATATTGTAGAGCAGGCATGTAAAACTGCCGGCCTAAGGGGCGGATGCGTCACACCGAAACCGTGCCCACCCCACTGCTGGTAATGGGGGAAAAGTCACGATACGTCACGCAATGCCACGTGACATTGCGAGTTTGACATGTCTGTTGTAGAGGTAATAGGGAGTGGCCTTGAAGGACAGTGGGAATATCCATTCACAAGCCAATGATCAGAGAAATATGGCTTAAGCCCATTTCAAGAAACAAACTTAATAAAATGTCCCCTAATTCACATGAAGGGATGGAGGAGGGAAGCACATTCAGACTTGCAAGATTTCTTAACTGTTCTAATAAAAGCAGCTTTAAGCCTATATGATATTGGTTTCTTCATCTGGTTTACCTTAGAGGATTATATAGCATTCTGTACCAGCTATAGCTTCCATGTAGAGAATTTTACAGTAATCTCAGTGGGAGGTGATGAGGGTATGAGTGACTGTGACCGGGCTTTTTGGCCAATATTGTTTGTAATGAGTACATAAGATGAACAAAACTTCTTCTAGTCCCAATTACTACCTGCTCTTTAAGCAGAAGCTGTCAGTCTCAGAATTTCCTAAATTTCAGACCTCTGAGCTGGAGAGTACAACTCCATTCAGAGTCAGGGACTGAATATCCCTGGAAAAAATAGGCTATAAACCCAAATTGACTCTGACTTGGGGGGTTTCATTCAGAACCTATTTCTCCCCATTCAGAATTTATCAGCCTCCAGGCATTGTATCACCAGATAAACCACATTACCTGTCCCGTCTGGTAATGAAATGTTTAATTTCATCCTTAGCACTACAGGTAGTCCTTGACTTACAATCATTCATTTAGCAACTGTTTGAAGTTACAACAGTGCTAAAAGATATGATCCTCACAGTCATACAATCATGATCTGGGCACTTGGCAACTGGCTCACATTTACAATGGTTGCAGCATCCCAGGATTACATGATCATCATTTGCAAACCTTCCCAACCAGTTTCTGACAAGCCAAATCAACCGCAGCAAAAAAAAGATTGTAAAATTGGGTGTAGTAACTCAATGCCTCACTTAATAATGAATTTTCCAGTCCCAATTGTGATCATAAGTCAAGGACTACCTGTATTCTAACAACCCTGTTTGAAAGGGGCATAGCTTCACAGATCTAGCTGTACTAACCGTGGATCAATGAAGATCTCCACCATAGCAGTAAAGAACAGGACCACACATGAACAGCTGAAGGCAGCCCCGCTCTGCTTCTCCTTTTCCACAGAGTAACGTGTCTCCATCTCAGGATCAATGAAACGCATGGATAGGCGATAGGTGGACCTGCCTTTTAGCCTGTCAGATATTTAGAACATGTCAGATAGTTAGGATCCTCATCTAGGACATATGGAATTTTTAGAATACTAGTAAAATGGTAGTCCAATGTCACTGAGACTTCAAGAAAAATCACTATGCCTTTAATTGCCTACCACTGGGAGGAAATATTCTGCTTGTGGACTTCCAAGGGAATTTTATTTAGCCTTCAGAGAATGCTGGACTAGAAGAGTCTTTGTTCTGATCCGACATGGATCTTTTGAACTCCTATCTCAGCAAATAAAAAGCTGCCTCATTCTAGATGAGAATGGCCCATCTATCTCAGTTCTGGCATTAATTCTTTGAGGCCTCAGGAAGAAAGGAGCTGTTCTGATCACTGTTACTTGTGAAGCTTGTTATGTCCCTAAGAAATTCTTTAAAATCCCCCTAGATGTTATTTAAGTCTTGATTTTATTTTGAAAAACCACCTTATCAGCTTAAATCATGATTGAAAAGTCAGCTGGCTATGCTGAGGATGGCTTGTTCTTCAGTTTTATACAAGTGTCTGAGGACTAAAATAATGGCATATTCTATTACATGCTCTGTGCGAAGCTTTTTTAAAAAAATTATATTGCAGAGATTGAGACCAGATGATGAAAATATTTTCTGAACTAAGTGAATTAGCCCAATTTGTGATAAATACACAAACATAAATAAAGAGAATTTGTAGCTTGAACTGTAAGATAGAGGAAAAGTAGAAAGTAAATACAGTAAGTCTCCAGAATATTGTTTCCCACAATAAAAAATCTGAATCATGGTGAAAATCTGAAACCAAAACAGCAGTGGACATTGCTGAGAGTAAAAGCAAAAAGCACACAATTAGCTCCAAGGTGGAAGTGAAAGAGACCTACGCCTGCACAGATTCCCTCTCCAGCAAGGCCTCATTAAGCAACTTATTGAGTTCCTGCTCGTTTTCTGAGGCATCCACCACTCTCTCGGCCAAGTCACGTAAGCGAAGACGCCTTCGAGGGTTGGGAAAGGAAGGATTCACTACCTAGACAGAAAAGAAGGCAAATAAAAAGTTGTATTTTACTTTCTCCTGAAATTTAATTAAACAAGATTTTGTTTTTAAAAAAGCACAATTTCATTTATTTGTTAAATTTATTTGTCGCCCATCTTGCAGTTCAAGGTGACTCTTTTATACCAAGTAGGCTGATAGGTTGGTTCTCTGCTACCTCACCTATTTCTCCACTCCCACCTCTCCCCATCTCTCCGAAGAGGCTCTCTTCCTGCCCAGCTTAACTTCATCTCTGTTTTTGACTTTAAAAAAAAACACACACCTATTTACCATACAATTTAAACATACAATTTCCCATTTAATTTTTAAATTAAAACAACTCTTTAAAAAAAAAACAAGGAACAAAGAAGGGAATGGTAGTCATGTTGCCACACATGGTTGACACACCAGGGACATAGGCAAAAGATCTACAAAAAAAGAATTGTATAATGTGTTATGTTGAAATAGTCAACTGAAATTAACAGTTGGAAATACTGTTTGCATTTCTGAACTTATCAACTGTATAATATCTGAAATAGCAGGGAAATAGTATGCAACCTATATATTAAGGCTTCAAGTATACACTAAGCAAACTTAGTGCTTAGTATATACTTGCTTGATCACTTAGCAAGTATAGACAGGAGTGCTTAGCAGTTTTACACTGGATTACACTTATTTTAAGAACACAGGGGACTAATTCCATGGTGTTTAAGGCAAACCGCCATTGATATAGCTCACCTGTAAAGCACATTCTCTGCATGCAAATAGTTTCTTATTATTCCCTAACACAGGGGTCTCCAACCTTGGAAACTTTAAGACTTGTGGACTTCAACTCCCAGAATTCTAGGACATATGGATTCCTGCAAATACTGTATATTCTTGCTTTGACAATATGCAGAACTGTCTGGTATTTATATAGTTAAACCACCAACTGGGAAAGAGGGAGGAGCATAAGAATAGCCCGGGAGAAAGAAACCAGAAGTAAATCACATCTTCCAAGTTGATTGGAAGATGTGAACCATGACCCTACAATAAGGGAGTGGGAAATGCTTGGAATGTATATGCGTAAGGGAAGAGAAGCCAGACCTAAGTATTTCCACCATGCTGTACTGACGTCTCTGTAACCTTAATAAATGCTTTTAGGAAAAAATATGCTTGAAAGTCCTTTTAAGTGTTTCGTTAATCAGACACATGACAGTTCCCAAGGTTGGAGACCCCTGCCCTAGCAGAAGTGTAACAGATGGCATAAATCAACAAGCCTGACTGAACTTTATACCAATCCTCATCAGAGGCCTAAAGATAGGCAAGTACTTATTAGAAGGTTTCTTTACACAGAACTCTCTCATGTTTGGAACTTTGCTACAAAACTAACCTGATATTCAAAGTCTTTTGTTTCTCCTCCCTCCCTCACAACCTGCACCCATGTAAAGGGTTTTTTTTTAATTGACTAATGCTGGATTTACTGCTCTTAAGCTTCCTGTTAGTTTTATTACCTGGTTAAAGTCAACTGGTTATTGATTCCATTTTAAAGATTTTATTTTTCAAAAGCATTTTAAAATGTACATTACTCTAGAAGGACTTTAGCAATGATCCTTTTTCTACCCACAAAAAACCCCAATCTATGCACATATGCAAATATACATGGTTTTTATATTTTACACATAAGCAGTTTCTCTTGGAACATGTTTCAATGAAGCGTGTATTTATCTTTCTCTATCAATTCTGCCCCTTTACCCTAGTATCCGATTCTTCTGCCTCATCTGGAGTTGTGCAGGTTGTATTAATGCTCCCATTGCATTCTTTGGTGTTGATCAATTGAGGTGAGTTCCCATGAGAGGATGAGACAGATAACTTCTGTAACATGAAACAGAAAAAGAAAGAGAACAATGGGTATAGGGCTAGGTTAAGTGTCCAAAAGGTATTACACCTCTTGTCACAATTTCCTTCTCTAAATGCAGAGAAGTCCCAGTCAAAATAACTTTTGTTTTAGAAAGAAAAACATACAAGTGCTTAGAATAGCTTATAACAGCAGTAGCATCAAGGTAATCAATCTGAATTAAAATCAAGCATCAATCTGACAATCACAATATATCACAATAAAGAAGCTAAAAGGAAAAAGATACATGAGAACACGTTCTTCTCCTTCCTCTGATCCTAACAAAGCTGATATATGATTCCATTCTTTTCAAAGGGCCTAGTGAAAGAAATACTCACCACCCCATTGATCCCATTCTTGAGTGGCTGCTTCGGTACTACTATGAGGTAGGTGGTGATCCCCTTTTCCTTTAGGTATTCACACCGTGACCCACCATCTCCTGGTTCCACTTCAAATTCACCTTTTAAGCAGTTCATGGTGCTCTGAGAAATGTGTACACGCCTAAAAGGATCACAGAAAATGCAGTCAGCCTTAATAAAGGAGAAAATGTGAGGGCTGTTGAAGAAAAAGCCCAGAATTTTAAGGACTTTCAGAATTTACACAAATAGAATATATTACTGTCCTGAAATAAACAGAAAGTATTTTTCAGTATAACATCCCTGATAAATTTTTATTTATTTTATTTATTTTACCTATACTAGTAAACTTAAAGAAAAAGTAAAAGTGCAAGGAAAAAGGAAAAGGAGAAAAGTAAGAATATAATAAAGAGAAAATAAATACGTAAAGAAATTGCTTCCAAATCTCATCACAAGTAACAAATTTCATCACCTCCAGAGTTACAAACAATTATCTATTCATCCATTATCCTATCACATATCTATAGAGAAGTCCATAAAACGCAGTATTTTCAATTTTGGTGTCAGCAGGAAGTCCCTAAAAGGCTGCCAGTAGTAACAACATATCTTATTTTAACTTTAATTAAATATATAACTTTATATTCTTTCCTTTTACTTCTAACAGTCTCAATATTTAGTTCACTCAAATATTTTCATAGGATTTGATTTCTCTTCATTTCTTCTTTATCTGTCAATCCTCCTAGGTAAACCAGACAGGAAAACATGACAAGATGAACTAATTCTACTTTACTGTAAGGCTACATTAACAGAATCCTCCATGTCTGAAAGTACAAACTTTCCACTGTCACTTTTAACTGCTTCATCCATTAAGGTGGGCTTCATAAGTCTATTTTTCTGACCATGAAGTTCCCGCCTCTCTTCTCTGACTGTTTCCTAGGCAGTATCTCTTTCCCCCATGTAATGGAATGTGTGAATCATCCACACATTCCATTACATTTTCCCGGCACACAGAGTTTTTCAGGTTTTAATAAATCTCTTTTATAAATCTCATAAGAAAAAAAATATCCAGGTGACTTTCTTGGTTTTCATTTATATTTCTGTTTTGATTTTTAAAACGTTAGCAGGGTAGGGGTTTGTGTATATTCAGTGAGACATCCTTTTCCAAGTTATTTTTTTAGCCTGCCATTTGTAAATCCACTTTCAGTACCATCTCTATTTTGTCAGATAAATTTGTTCCACTTCTATCATTTCTTCAGTAATATCTTTTCGAACAAAGAGTCAAACATCATGACTGACACTGTTGATATTATAGCCACTAATTTCTGGCTCCATTCTTCAAAATTCTCCTTTAACATTTTCAATGTTACAATATTTTGCATTATTTTGTAGGTCCAGTGAGCTTGTATTTTTTTTTCCTCTCATCCCAGAGTCATGTCCTCTCTAGTATCCAATTTTTAATAATAAAATTACTTATCTTTGTTACATCTTGCAATAACCAAATCAGATCTATTTCCCACAAGAAGCTGTTTGTTCTTTATAATTCATTCCAAAAATATTATAATAAAACTTTCTATATTCCAAATTTATCTGCACCTTTAATCCATTTATAACTTTCTAAGATTGAAATCTTACTTAGCTTACATTTACTTAAATTGTTTAAATTCTTAAGCTTATATTTTTTTTTCATTAAGGATTGAAGAAAAATTCACCCAGTATTTTCAAACTTGACATTCTGAAGGTCTCTAAACTTAAAAGTAGTTAATAAGTAAATAAGCAATTTCTGAAAGTGATTAGAAAGTAAAATTAGCAAACTTAGTATTCTTTAAAAGGTGCTTGACAATGGTTGCAAGCAAGATGGCTATTCCCATCGTCTCCCGACATTCACACTGGTGGGAGACTGCTGACCTGCGGTCTCCTGGCAGGGAGCAGCCATCCAGAGCAAATATGGGCAATCTTCCATCATCGCTTTATCCGGAGAAGTTCCAAGGAACCTGTCTACTCACCAGTTCCTTGGTCTTTGCTACAGTTATCAGACAACTTCAGTCCATCATTCCTTTCCCCGAAGCCCACAATAATACATTATCAAGTACTATCTTTCCCATGTTTTAGGATACCCTTTTCAAAAGAAGCGACAACTGGACAAGCGACAACTGGACAAGTGGACATAATTTCATTTCATTTTCATTTCATTTTATTAAATTTATACCCCGCCCTTCTCCCGGAGGACTCAGGGCGGCTTACAGCCAGTTTAAAAACAATAATACAATACCATACAAAATTTAAAAATGATTAAAAATAAATATTTGAATAGGCCGCTTCTACTAAAATTTTGTTAAAACCAATTAAAATACCCCTAGGCCAGTCCTGCCCGCTGAAA